TTGTTTTTAATATAAGTCACTACCTATTTTTTATTATTTTTGCTTGGTGTTAAATGATTGACACAGTTCGGAACAAATAATACATTATGTCGTTCCATCGAACTCTCATCAGCAATACAGCATATTTGTAGTTTAATCGAAGGCATGAAAACCAAGATGGTGTTGCCTTTTGTGTGGTCGCAGTCTCCTTTCGTTGTACAGAAATTGTTTGACCTTGTTTTCGCAACTTTTTCATATTGGTAGGAAGACTTAGAGGAACGCACCTAGTTAGCCTCGGCCTTACGGCTGTTGCTGGCTTTTTAGAAATACAATTATCTGCCGTGCATGCTAAAAGTGGAAATGAGTTTTACATTGGTAATGATTTCGGCGAGGGAGATATACAGAACAGGCTTGTGATGAGGCAGTAGGGTTTTAATGAGGTTCTTGTTGTTGGAAATGAAATTAGCTCTACTATCTCGATTCTTGAAAAGTAAAGCAGACGATAGAATACCTAATATCAAATCGTTTTTGAAGGTTTTAAACGTAGATGATGGAGAGGAGTTGAAAGAGAGCTCTCATAACGCCTTGGATAACCTCACGCAGTTGGCTTGTCAAGCCAGATGTTCAGCGTCATCTTTAGATTCTCCCTTTGCTGTAACAGCAGCAGCAAGCAACCCGACGAATCAACAGCATATGATGCAATCACAGCAGTACAGAAGATCGGCAAAGCAACAACAGCGCCAACAAGTGCGTGTGGCTGGCCAGCGGTTTCGCGTCAAACAGCGTGTTACTATGCCTGCTGATCACACCAGCGACATGGCTCATCGTGTCGACAAAGCATCTGACTCCAGTGTCACAGGGCAGACTTGTGCAGAGTGTAATTTTTTATTTTTTTTCACTTATTTAACTTTATATTAGTAGTTTACGGCTATTATTTAATTTAATTACATATTCATTAATATATATGGTAAATGTGGCCGAAAATAGGATTTATAGGACAGAAATGATGCTTATATTTTGAATTTACATACTTGCTCTAACTATAGAGCGCTACTGTTCCATCCGTAGTGTACGATGAGTGTTATCCAAATTAAACATTAGTTTAAATGCGGAAATTTTGAGCCTTGTGTTGCCTGTCTTCGACGTCACCTGGCTGCAAGGCATATATTAGCTTAAGATATATATATATATATATATCCGCTTAGTCACTGCCTTTTCTTGGATATTTGGATCATTGGATTGGGTCAAGATATTTATTGGAAAGCCAAGTAGTTTTCTTTTATTTAAGCATACCAATTACATTATTAGAACTAATACATTTCTTAGCCATCTAGCCTTAACATCAATTGATTGAAATTTGCAGTTGCCATTTAATGCTTCTACTTAGCATTTAACAAAGGCTTTCATTTGCGAAAGCGATATTAGTGTATAAAGCATTTAGTCTCTAATAGGCTGAAGAAGT